TTTATTTATTTATTTATTTATTTATTTATTTATTTATTTATTTATTTTTTATTTATCTATTTATTTATCTATTTATTTATCTATTTATTTATTTATTTATTTTTTGCTGGCTTACCAACTTCCTGTGTTGGAGGAATGGCTGTCCTGGCCGTGATGTTGAAACACACAATGGCTGACATGCAGGTCACATCCTTGCCACCTCTCTGACAGTCCTTCACGAAGATGTTAATCTTGCTGGGCTCGAACCTAACGGTGGCGTATATCCGAACGACACTCTGTGACCTGTGAGGGCGGAAAGGTCTGTGAATTTTTAGATTAAAACGTAACAATAATCAAAATAAAATGTAAAAATAATTTCCCCTCTGGGATTATTAAAGTATTTCTGATTCTGATTCTGATTCTGATTCAATGACCCCATTAAAACATCATAAAGGGGGGATTTTATTTCAGCTTTGTGAGACAACTAAATGACAAGTATTATAGATAAAGAACAAACCAAAGTAGCACAGCGGCACCCAGAGAACCCACTGCCAAGTCCACAAGGCCATCGTTGTTCATGTCCATTGTGCCGTGGATGCTGCGGCCAAAGTATTGAAGGCCTTGAGCCAAATCTGCCGCTGCTATCCTCTGGAAAACAGGAGAGCAAAACATTCACCCTGAAGTGGATAAAACCTGTTGATACGTACAATTAAGGGTAAAAAGTAGCAGTGTATTCAAATATACTACTATAGTCACACTGAATGTATGAATAGACAAATCAGTGAGTCCTTTGTAAAACCCAGATAAGATTACTAGGTGTAATGTAAGCTGTACTTACCTGTTTTATTACAAAAATGGACATTTGTTTAATCATTTTGTGAAATAGCTTAGGATTTTTTTTCTATCGCACATAAAAGGCTTGGAAATCTGGTTGGACCAAAAACTGAACTGATTCACATAAACACCAGAACTATTAAACTACATATTCTGTGTGTTTCCAACTAAAGGTTTAAGGACATCATGAAGGCAGTGGCTGAATAGATCAATCTAAAATTAGGAAAATACATTAATGCTGTGACATGGATGTGCAAAATGGTTTGGGTTTCAGCTTTTTCAGCTACCTGTTGGGGAACACTTTAGCACTATAATTGTGTTGTTGGGCTGCAGAATTTGTATTAGCAGCGTTTTAATTTGCTTCTCTTTTGATTGTCCTCATCAAATTTTTACTTAATTTCACCCCACACTGGCCAATGAAACTACAAAGATCCAGGAAACACATTTTCAAAGCATTTAAACAAACTTTTAGAAAATGCTCGCAAACATTTTTGCATTGGTATTCTGTCGCTTTGGGATTGTCAGAAAAGTACTTTTTTTTTGTTTGAATTCCTTATTTGGCCTTTTAACAAAATATGTAAAAAACGAAAAAACAGAAATACATTTTTATTATTAACAATTTATTATTATGCGATAAGTCAAGATTAATTTTTGTGTAGTCTTCTGCCCCCTGTTATCAGGTATATCTGATTGTTTACAATAGGATTTTGAGCAAAGTTAAATTATGGAAAAGGTGTCAAGACGCGAAACATTCCAGAAACCGTATGTATCAAATATGATACATTTGGCATTACAGGGTTAATTGTATGTGCACGAACTTTACCTGTTTATATTTGCGTAGTATCCTGGTCTGTTGGCTGAAGAAAACATAAATAGCTCCCTTGTGGTCATCTTCCAAAGGTGCCCCCACCACCAGGTCATTAAAGCCGTCCCCATTCAGATCAGGGACCGGAGCGAGGGACGAGCCGAATCGAGCGTTCTGCCCGCCGTTGTGGATTTCCAAAGCTCCCTCCAGGACAAAACGATTCTGAGGAATGAGGGGGAAGCAAAGTAAGTAATATAGAATAGTCTTGTTGTATCAAAGTTGGGATTTTTTCAGATTCATGTTACGCTGCATACCCTGGGACTGACATTAATAAACAGATCTGAGTATAATTGATCACATATCTCAAGTTGTCTTATCTTATATATGTTTCTGTGTTTATAAACATAATTGTGTTTTTTAGAGTTTGATTCTCCTCCCAGACATGAAATAAGACTGAAACTTGCTTTATGTAAGTTTAAGACAACATTTCTAAACAGTGAAAAGTATCCACACAGCATTTTAATGACTTCATGTTATCACTTTAGGCCATAAAGGCATTTTCCCCCAAAGGCACTGTAAAGAAAACAGCAGTGTGGTAATATTGTGGTATTTGGGTAATAAGTTTGTTCCTACTAAATGTGCTTCTGAATCCTTTGCCTGGTTTCTTTAATCCCCTTATCCCTTATCACTTTATATTTATGTTTATGTATTTAACAGGCGCTTTTGTCCAAAGCGACTTACAAAGTTTAACCTTTAACTATTTTTCTGTATATCTACTGTTGTAAATGTTTATATGCACCCATAACAAGCAACAAAATCAAAGTTTTGGCCCAATGAGGCCCAGAGTTCTGGCCCGATGAGGACAGAAATCTGAGGAATTTGTGTGATATCAGGCATCAAGATGTTTGCAACAGATTTTTGAAGTCCATTTTTTTATCCAGCACATTCCACACATTTTGGAGACATTTTGAGAAGCAACTGAACAAATTGGACTCTTTTATGTTCAAAGTTAATTGAACAAGTACATATGTGGGCCAGAAAGCCTCAGTGGATGGTGGGTTGAGATGTAATGTCCCCGTGATTGCCAAGATACGAGGTTTCCCAGCCTTTTTCTTCTTATAGTCCAGTTCATTGACATTTCCCATCTTGGAAAGCAGGAGTCATTAAGAATCCTGCTTGCTCCACAGCACAGTTCTGTAAACCGAACACTCCCTGCTGGAGCCAGCAGCCAGTAACTGGAAATCAGTTTATTTGATCTGGGCAGTATCTCTGAACTAACACTTCAGTATATCGCCCAAAACCACGGCTGGCTATAGGAGGTGGAATCCTGACACACAACCTGACAATTAAAAGAAAAGGACAAAATCCAGCAAGGCCAGTAGCCAAAGCAGAAACATTGTTTAAATTGGTGAAGTTATCTGATAAACAACTATTCAAAATGACTGACTCACTGACTAGCTCAAATAACCAGTTGGCCTGTCATTATTTTGCTCAAAAGTAGTGATTTTGGCCCATTTAAAAGATCACTCAGAGCTAATAATTCAAACAATAGTTCGGACACTCACTGTCTGAATTGTTGTCCTATCTCGTGAACATCTTTCTATAACATCATATTCTATTCCTTTGATTACTTTTGTCCCATCATTATCAAATTGTCAAAAATCTGACAAGAAATCGCTGCAAAATGGTTGCTTTCATTGTCAATGCTCAGCTCAAAAGATTTGGACTTATTAGCAGTCCATCATAGTTAATCTTCTATAAGCCTGTACAGAAACCGATACAATCCAGAAAGAAGCTAATCTTTAAGGGGTTATCATGAAACAAACTGATCCATGTACATACTTTAAGCATGTGATAAGCACATGTCCAGACAACAAAAAAGAAACATCTCATAGAATGCATATGTTGTCTTATGTTGCATGAATACACACAGTAATGCAAGTACTGGAGCACAGAAGCTTTACTTAAATCAGAGGCATGTGCCAAGAGGGTGTTTTTCTAAACAGCAGATTTACTGTTTTTGACTGAAGAGTTTGCCTGAAGTGGATGTCCGCTTTAGAGGAGACAGCCATCCCTTTTGGCTGTTTGCAAAATGACTGATCTGTTTGTTGGACAAACTTTCATCCATTTATTCACACATCGAATAAGACTTAGAGAGAATGAATGTCCCACATTTGAGTGTTTCAATCATCTCAAAATCGTGTAAAACCACAAATCATGCAGTGATTTAAACAGAAAAAGTAATACATTAATTTCATTTTTTGATTCATCTTTCTACTTATCAAACAGAGGGTCAAGTTTGGATTAGCCTCTCTGTTTTTTCCACATTACATTTTAGTACTTCCCATTTGAACTCAAACATCTGGAAAGAAAAGACTACGGAATTTTACCTCAGCTTAGCATATTTATTTGAAGTTCTATTCTTAGTGAGTGTTAAGTCAGATGGAAGATATCCATGCCTTTGAAACTAACTACCCCGCTGGAAAAAATCTTTCAGACAACAGTCTGACTATTAGCGGCCAAACGCAGTAGTCATGCATATCACTGCTCCACTTGGCAAACCAAAAAAAAATCACAATAAAATCATTCTCAGCTGCCAGATGAAACATGAGCTCACTTGTTATTTCAGATGAATAAATGCAAGAGGAGTTGATTTAGGAAGGCAGCTTTAACTTCTCAGCTACCTGATGTGTCACCAAGGAGAGTGACAGAGAAATGAGGAAAATACACTCAGGACTGTAAATCTAAAACATATGGTGCGTGAGGAGCAATAAAGGGTCACAAGCACCCTACAATGGCCGACTTGGATTGTGAAGATTTTATTAAACCTACGAAGGCATCTTCTGGGTCACTCTGGGACAGCAGAAACTAAATCATAAAGCTGTAGTCTGGTTTTGTTTCCAGCAAAGTTGCTTGTAAACAGCTGTATCCATCCAAAAATGAGCCTGCACTATAAATATTCTGTAAGGAAAATGATTTTATGCTAAAATCAAAATATTCTCACAGCATCTGTACTTGTACTCTCTGTATTGAAGAGAATTTTTCATCACTACTACATCAGTGGGTAAAATTTGATATGATGTGGGTCTATAAGACAAATAGACACATAAATGCTTTATTGAGTCAGAGATGATCATCTTCAGGTTAATTAAAAGTCCTTATTTGAAATGAAATCATTCAAAACTATCTACTGAATTTTGATTTAATAGGTTTGTTGTCTTCCCAGTATCACCTCAATCAACAAGGCTTCTTGAAATGGTTTTCCTTGTTTAACAATTGCCCATATTTCCCATATTCTGTAGAAGTTTAAACCACAAACCCTCTCAGAGATTGAGATCGTGACAGCTTTTTGTTTAAGCCTTAAAAACGACGGCAAAAGAGCAGACAGGGAGAAACAAATGAGCTATAAAACTGCACAGAGCCTGGAGGCATGATCATTTTCTGCTTGTCACCACAAGCTTTTCACAAACAAAAAATCATCACCACAAAATGTGTATAAACAGGGCATTAGTCAAACTGCGCATGAAGTGTAATGTGGAGTCCACAAAATGTTTAACCTGGACTGACTATCAGTATAAATGGCTGCAACAACACACACAAATTCTTTCATTTTAAATCTCCTGGGTCCTGGAGAGGGTGCAAAACATTCAGTGTGACCACAGAAATGCATTTAAGTATTTTTCCAGAAGAAGATCCCTGAGCGAGCAGCATCTCCATCACCACCTGAGTTGACCACATCCTGTCCCGAACATGTGGAGTGTCTGTCCGGTGACACACTTTGTCTGAGGGTGATGTGTTTAGTGCTTTGTTTTTTAAGCCCGAGCCCGGCACCTGTGATGTGGTCTGGGCCGTGCCAGATATTTAAATACCTCGCCCGTGCCTGCTCGGTGGATTCAAAGGAGCCCCGGGGCATTCATTATTCCAATGAGCGAGACAGACCTGGAAAACCGGGAAAATGTCCTTCTATTAAAGCAAGTTCTCGCCTCCAAATGGTTTGCTGGAAATGGCTTTAGAAAGGCGGGGGGAATAGTTTCCTCTTGAGTTCATTGTACGCGTCCAATAAAGTCTACACACTGGGACAGGGGAGTTCCCTCTTTTGATCTGTACCTTTAATCTGGACGGGTCTCGTGTTGTGCCGAGTGGCTGCCTGCAGCGTATCAGTGGCTCGGTTTGGCACCGAGCTCAGTGTGTGTTACCAGACCCTTCTGGTGAGACGTGTTTAAAAGTTTGAGCAGGTGCAGACTCGACTCCAGCAAAACTGCTCTGTGGGAAACATCTGTGTGTCTGTTGCAGAGATGTTCAGTAACAAAGTAGAACTACTTAAGTACTGTACTTAAGTACCAAAATGCAGTATCTGTACTTTATTGGAGTAGATATTTTTTCCCCTACTTTTACTTTTACTTTTACTCCACTACATATTTTTGATTATTCCAATACTTCTACTCCGATCGATTTTTCACGGGCTGAATCGTTACTCGTTACTGATATGTAAACGTAATGATAGATAGCTCTGTCAGGGTTTGGGAAGCTGGCTCCTCATTGGCGATTTGAACGATCAAGCATAGCCTACTAAAAAAAGCCTCCCGAAAGATTGTTGATTATAGCCTTCAAAAATTCCCCATCTAATCTGAAAAGCATATCAAGGTAAATAAAAAAATACAATGACATATAAATGAGTAAAAAAGCGCTAGTTCAGTTCTCCCTGTTCACTCAGGACATAGCAGCTAACGTTAGCTAAAGCTAACCTAGCTTGCTAGCTGTATGATAACGTTAGCTAAAGCTAACCTAGCTGGCTAGCTGTATGATAACGTACACCTAGCTGGCTAGCTGTGTGCTACATGCTAGCATAAAGGCTCAGCTCAGGATTCTGACTCTGGAATAATAAATAATAGTAGATGAAGAGCTGTTGATTGCTAATGCAGACGTAGTTTTCTGTTTTTGAAAACACCTGCATGGCCTTTCACACGTTTGAAATGATATAAACAATATCTATCAAACTTTTGACTGCCTTTTTTTAATATACACAGTACTTGTACTTTTACTTATAGTTTCGATACTTGAGTAGCAATTTTTGAAATATTTCTATTTGCAATTCTTAAGTACAAAAAAAATTGAGTACTTCAGTACTTCCACTTAAGTATGGTGTTGAAAGAATACTTCTACTTTTACTCAAGTAAATTTTTTTACATAGTACTTGTACTTCTACTCCACTCCTCTACTCCAGTACTTTAAACATCTGTGTGTCTGTTGGGCTTCTTCCTACCAGCTCTGTTACTCTGTAGATGTAGACCTTTCCCTTCTCCAGGCCCACGCTGAAGAACATAGGAGCTGCCACCAGGAGGTTGTCGGTCACACCGTCTCCATCGATATCCACAGCTGCTATCTCACTTCCATAGTAGGAGCCGATCTGAAAGAGACGACATCAATCCAGGCAAACAATCATTTAAAAAGCACTTGAACAGGATAAATACACGCCAGCCAGGAAATGAGCTATTTTTTCTCATCAATTCAAAGGAAAACAACAAATGTCACCGTGTGTTCGTGATACTCGGTAAAGTTTGTTGCCGCTCATTGAGCCACATCTTGTTCGAATTTGATGATTTATTGATGAAGTCAAGTGGCTTTTGAACTTCAATATGGTAAGCAAATGGTGTTCTGCGTTGAGTCACAATAGGCAGATGCTTGCTGGTGCTTTTGTTGACTCTCAGTCTGAGTGAGCTTTACTGGGTGTCTGGATCGGTCATTGGGGTGGATGGGACCCTCATCTCTTGGTTTCCAGATTAGAAACATCTGTTTTTAGAACAAAAAAGATATAAAAAAAAGCTCTCTGCCTGAGAGTTGTGAGACCATTTCTGCAGAAAGAAACTTTCGCTGTTGTGGATGATTTGTTGCTGACGTTGTACAATGTAAACTGCTGTAAAACCAATCCAGGGTTCAGCTGAGCTTATCACTGAGAGCCACATCCTCTTTAAGGTCTGACCCTTTTTAACCCTATAACGCCAATTATGTCATATTTGATACAAACGGTTTCTGAAGTCTTTTGGATCTGAGACTTTTTGCATCATTCAGTGGTAAAAGCTTTGCTCAAACCCCTGTTGCACTCATTCAGATATACCTGATAACAGCCAGTAGAAGACTACACCAAAATATATTTTTGACTTATTGCATGCTAATTTGATAGAAATCATTTCTGTTTTTTTCTTCAGATGTTGTTGAGGGGCCAAAGAAAGACTTCAGACTAAAAAAAATCCAATATTCTTTCCCATTTTTCTTGGATCAGGCTTTAAAGGGTTAAGCTGGACTTGCTTTAATCAACTGGAAGATATACATTTATTTTTCTCGGGGGGAACAAGTGATCTGGTCTTCATGTCAGTCTGTGTCATCGGAACTATCAGTATGTTTTTGCCATTTGGACTTTATCCACACAGTTTATTACGTTAAGATTCAGATTGAAAAGAAAACCTTTGTGGGCATTTTGGGGGAAATTCGGTTAATCGCTTGATACGGCTGTACCTGATGACCTTTGAGTGAGTGCAGGATGGTGAGGTTTCCTGAGTTCTTCAGGGTGAAGATGATGACTTTGCCAGTGTGGTTGAATCGCGGCGCTCCGGCTACGAGCAGGCGCCCGTTCCTGGCCGACACCACAGACGTTACGGTGTAACCTGTTTATGGGAAACACGTGAAAACAAAGAGGACACATGATTCCTGCCTGTTTGTGCAGACTGAAAGAATTGGACACGAGCGGGATACGACTTATGATGCCGGTATTTTATGTCATTTTCAGTGTAAATAAAGTTGATGGATGGTTTGGCATTGCAAATGTAATTTGACTATTGGGCACTACGGTTGTTCCGCTCTTCGTGTAAGTTCAAAGATGGACGCGCTTTGACTTGAATTTCATTGCAGTGATCTCAATGACTCAAGGAAAACCATTAAATGCTGCATTCTGCCGATGACCTGGTTCCTCTGGCTTCCTTTTTCTTTTATTCCTTCTTTTCCCATTGAAGCTTCCACTTGTATTCTTTTCCACTTTCGTCTCTCATTTAAACGGCACTTTTTTCCCAACGCAAGCGCTCTTCCTGCAAGTCCAAAATTATGCATCCACCTCTATTTCTTCAGATCCTACATTGGCTTCCACTGGCAGCCCGGTGGATAAGCTCAGTTATAAACCACTGATGGTAAAAACAGAGGTCTGTGGTGATGAAATAAGATGCGGGTGGATGTGAGCGCACGAGCAGTGGGTACAATTTATAGGAAGGGTTGCAGTTAGGACAACTAGTGCTAAACCACAGGTCTTTTATTGGGGCAACCATATTTGAATTCACTAAAAAAGGAGTAAACAGAAAGTTACTGCTGATGACAATGGGAACTAATATCTCAAATGCTCCTTGAATTTAATTTGATCTCAGATAAAATTTCTTTTTTGAAAAATGGTTTTACTAACCTAAGTAGGCGCCGTGATTTTTTAGGTCTTCGGGAAATTCTTGAGCGTAGGACGACTTTGGAGGGACCACCTTCCCCTGTCGTGTTTCCTTCAACACTGCGCCGTTCCAGTCGTAGGCACCAACAGCACCGACTATTATCCCATCCTGTTGGTGAGGAGCAACAAAGAGCCTTCACTTGAAATATATATCATGCAGGCAAATAGAGATTAGTCGGTCAATTGCAACCTGTATAGTAGCTAAGAGCACATTAACTGTTATTGAAGACTCAAAAAGTCAGTTAAACATGATATAAAATGCATGGTCTTGGTGGTGAAATTGTATTAACTAACCTTTTATATTGCAAAAAGAAAGAAAGTAAGAAAGAATCAAAGAACCATTGAAAGATTTAGCCCAGAAGGTTGGTGAAAACAGGAGGATTTTTCATCTTTTTCTGTCACATCAATCACATGATCAATAAGAAAATATTTTTTTCCATTATAAACATAAAAAATAAAAACATTTCATGGCACAATTGCTTTAAAAATGAGCCATACACACCCCAAAGCAGTGTTTTACTACACAAGTAATTTGCCCTATCACAGTTCAGACTTTTCAGATCCAGTAATGAGCAGTGGGCTACATTTTCAGGGCAATGTGAACATACTGGCAATGCTTTAAACAGTAACCTGCATAATGTTTCAATTATTACAATATTTCTCATTCTTTCTTGTTTAATGTAATTGTAAGCAAGTATTTTATATACTGCTTCTTTACATAAAATACTTTTTTGGTGCAATAATACAGCAAAAATAAATATAAATAAATACACATGAGTCTTATCAATTATTCTATTTTCACCTTTTCATATGGGCACAGGTAGTAAATCACTTCATGGTGCTGAAGATTAATGTATGTAGACCTTTTTCCTGTGAGTAAATGATTAAGTGAGATGCCCTGGACTGAAAACTGACACCAGTTAGTAAGAGTGACAGCTCACTAATGACAATCTCCACTGGCCTCTATAAGCTACTTTTCAAACAAAACCCACGCTTTTTCTAGTTCCCCATACAAGGCTCCTTTTGCTGTTAGGGTGAGGGTTATTGTTTATTTTCACCTATTTTTAATTCATATACTCATGTAATGTTCCAGGGAGTATGACAGTGAATGTTTTTTCATTAAAGCTGGAATTTCCAGGTAACGATTATTTAGCTCAAAACCTTTTATCCAACTTCTCCTAATCTTGATTGTGCTTTCTTTGCCTTTTCGTTTAACAGAGGAAACATACCAGCCAGTACATTTAGCTGAATTTTCACCATTTTCTATATTTCACTAATCCCTTTCTGACATTGTGATTGTAGGGTTCTTCTGCTGAGAGCGATCAGTGCTTTTCCTTGCTGTTCACAATACTGCCGACAGCACAGTTTCCAGGGTATTAGGATGTGCTGGACGCCTCCCGATTCCCTCCTGAGAGATGGAATTGTGAGCTTACCACGCTTGCACTACGTCACTCTCTCACAGCGAGGTTGTGCCAGTGTGGTTTTCTGTTTTGACCAAAATGGTCTCCATGGCAAATGGAAGAAACCCCAAAACAGTTCAACCCCATAAACCAGTGACCTATTTCTCCTGCAGTTACATGTGTGGACGTATGCCCCCGCTTTGAAGAAAATGTCAACTCTTTACTGTGCTGCAGGACACGGGGGCTGTGGTTCCACTTTTAAAGATACATTTGAATAGAAATCGTTGGTTGAATACCACCCAAACTCCATAACTATTGTACTCACTCAACAAACTGGCTATATATGTTAAACATTCTCAATGGTGAGATTATGGCCAAACCAGAGCCCCGATTTTCCTATTTAATCATCATTTAGTTATAGGAAACAACAAGAATAGAAAACTACTAAGAATGCAGATGCATGAAATGTCTGCAAAGGGTATAACATAAGACTCCTCAAAGTTGGCATCCATCATATTCCCCAAAACCATCTGGGCCCTCGAGACTGATTTTTTTTCCCTCTAAAGCATATGCATTCTTTCCAAAACATTATCCTGCTCTCAACACTCAAGCTGGTACTGTTAAGCATCTCTGGAATCTGGCCTTGTGGACACAATTTCCAGTCATTCCTGCCACCCAGCTGCAAACTCTGCTAAATATTCATTGTTCATCATGCGGTGGATATAGGCTATATATATTTCTCCTCAGGCAAACTCCATTGTGAGGGGAGCACTGGAAAATCAAACCAGTAGCATCAGCAAAGCAGGCAGGAGAAGAATGAAAACTGATTATCTGGTATGACCGGCAGGTACAGTAGAGGAGTTTTTGACTTATCTTCCTCTTCCAGCTGCGCTGCACACCTGAAAATACCCCCACTCAGATTCAAGCAAAAAGTTCCATGAATTAAAAGAAAGTTTGTCACTCTGAGGTAGAGCTGTCTGAATAGAGACAGGACCTTCACTAATATGTCTCCCTCAGGAACCCGTGGTGTCTGATTTTTTCCATCAGTGCATGCTTGAAGTGGAAAAAGGCCTGTCTGCCTGTCAGAGGCTCCTAAATCTTGATGACCCAAACGTGGGGCCACACAGCAGGCACCTCGGGGGGGATGAGAGTGATAAATAGCAGGACTGGTGATGCACCAGAAATTGAGACAATGTGTGTTGTTTTACACCCTGACAGATGGTATGAGACAACGGGGTAGCAGAAGTCAGAACTCACCTCAACGCTGTGGGCGGAAAATCCTGCCTGAGACATCTGGAGGCCAAACGCTGTCCCATTCTTGCTGGTTCCTGAGAAAACAAGTGTGAATTTTAACATTTTTGAAGCATTGCAAAAGCAGGGACGATTCATTTTCAAGGAGCAGTCATTTTTGAAGATAAATCGACTTTCATTATGAAACATTTAAGAGATTTCCACAGGTCTCGCAGCTGTTTTTTTCATGGTTGCTGAAAGTATTTTTGTTATTCTTTTGGAGGAAAATAAAAATATTAATAGCAAAGATTCCGAATGAGTTATTTGGATTGATTTTTCTCCACCTTAAAAGATTTTTGTACAAAGAAAGCAGCATACTTCGGGCGCCTAAGATAAAATAAATATTTTCTGTACAACCTTCCAAACTGAAGATGCGTTCTCCAAGTGCATCCACAATATCTTTCAGGGCTGACTCGTCTGTCACATTGAAGAAGTGTTTGTCGTCTGGGTCACTAGCGATGTATTTGATTTCACTGAGGAAGGCTTCAGGATTAATTCCTCTGCGGTTGTAGTAGCCGAGCACCTGGGGGGTTCAAATATAGCACATGCATATAAATACTGTTAATACAAAAAGAATTGACGAGCAGGCTAGTTAATGATAGTGCTATAACAATGTAAATCTTTGCCACTCTTTGAAAATGATCCATTTGCATTAAAGTTTCCTGTAACCATTCCAACATTGGATTTAAACCAAATGACTTTAGTTTTTGCCCAAATGGTCATAGCAATTTTAGCCTTTTTAACAGGAGGTTGAGTTATTAGCTCCACCTGCAGAGTCACTGACCAGTGAGGATGTGGTCTGTGGGAGATCATTTACACTTTTTAAATGCACTACCAAAGAGCTCAAGTTTGGCCCATTTAAAGGTATTTTTTTTCTGTGTTTTGGCTCTTTTGTAACTCTTGAAAGACCATTTTTTAGCAGAATACCATTAGGTCACCTCATTAATGTTTATGGCGGATCAAAGCTAAGTAGAAAATTTATAGGCCATTTAGTATTCATCAGAAAACCAGAAGTTAAAATTCAAAATAGAACCTTAAACCATGCGAATAATGGGTAAAGCAGACTCACAGCAATGGCATAGCGGGTGATGCCATCCTTCTCACTGTCCTCTATGGCCTGCTGGAGATCCGCACTGTCATGTGACTCTCCATCCGTTATCACTATCATTACCTTCTTGGCGCCACGCCGACCTCCTTGCTTGAAAGCTTGAGAGCTGTGAGAATTCGGTTAATACATTAAGTGAAATGAACGTCAGAAAAAAAAACTAATTAGATTGGCTCCGCTCATCGGTATGCACGGCGGACGTACCGGGCCGTGTTGATGCCCAGAGCGGTGTTGGTCTCCTCTCCGCCTCGCTGGTTGATGCTGCGGGCTCTTTTCACCACGTCCTCCACCGATTTGTAGTCACTCAATTTGAACTCGTGGACCACCTTCTCGCCGTACTGAACGACTCCAACCTGCGCCCCAAGAGAAACAAAACCCCAGGGGACTTGTTAAAGCCTTTAAAAAAATAACTTTTCTCTTTTTTTTCTGTTTATACCTGTATTTGACCGGGTCCAACATGGAACTTCTGAAGAATGTTGATGAGAAAAGCCTGGACTTCATACCAGGGGTAGATGGAGTTTGAACCATCAAGGACGATCACTATGTCCATGTAAGTCTCACACCCTGGAAAGAGAGATGAAGAATACATTCATATAGAAGAGAAGAATAATGTGACTTAGAGGATCTGTTGATCTTGATTATTCAACGCTTACTCTGGAAGGCGGGGGCAATCGTTCTGGAGAACTTGAAGCTGGCGTTGACTCTGGAGCATATTCCCGTGCTGTAGTACGAACTGCCACACTCATAAGACCATAACGGCCCACAAGCCTGGAACATCAAAGAAAGCTTTCATGCAGACAGCATCATCAACCTCAGTATATCCAACCAAATGTTACACTGCTGGCGAGCCTCTGCAGGGAAGGCAACAGTTTAACAACCGTGTAATCAAAATATAATCTTGTGGGATTGTCATCTTTTCCATTTTGACGGCTGCCGTCTTATTAAACAGGCTCTCAGTTACTCCAAAGAGCTTTTACAGAAGCATCCGTTTACTGAAAGCCCGAACTCATCGAGTCTATCTCACCACAAAGCTGTTGTCTTTAGGGTTGGAAGTGAGTGTCATTCCCAGCCTCATCTTGTCCTTCCGCTCCGATACGTTGGTCAAAGATATCCTTCCTTGGGGGAAAATGAATTTCACTTGGACGATCTCAGATGCTCTCTTTCATGCATGCACAATCTTTCGGAGTGCAAACAGAGGCTCCACCATCTGGTACTTTGGTTTGTTATTGCAGTCTGGCCAGTCAAAGCAGCATCCACGTCCTCAGATCTAAATGTTTACTCGACTCAGCGTCATGTGAATACCTAACCAGCACAACACGTGCGGCCCGTATGAAGAGGCACGCAGTAAAAAATGTGGTAAAACACACGTGTGGAAAGGTACATAAACCATTTTAAATATATATTAAAATGTGGAATGGCTGGTATGGTACCACATTTCTGTCTCGCATGTGTCACCATGATGCTGATTAACATGTATGCTGCAAGGCCGGCGGAGTTTAACTCAATTTTAACGCGTGCATGCACCCATCTGTCCAGATGTTGTGCCAATGACTGTCTCTGCTTTTGCTTTTGAGTCGCGTTTTGTAATACTATACCTAAATTGAGCTTCGAACAGCCGTTGCCGTTGATTCTTTTGCTCAGAGAACATTTATAAACATCCCCCGTCTGGTAAGGTCCGTTCATTTCGTACGGGGCGCCCACTAATAACCTGCACACACAAAACAATTTAACGGTTAGACGCGTTAACCAGTGTTCAAATGTATTTCATACAAGATCCCAAGTCATTCTGCTTGGACTGAAAACGGTTTTGTGGGATATCCAGCTCTGACTATGAATATGACTGTGGGTCTTAATATCCAGCAGCATCGGCCTTACGCTCATAAACACTTTCACACAGTCACACCCAAAAAATGGTTTAGTTTGTTTATTCATTTTATTCAGGTATGTCCATACGGGACTCCTTGAATCAAACAGATAGCAGCCAGGGCAGATGCTAAGAGTTTGTTTCAGGTGGTGACTTGTTATTGTCAGTAAGAGGTCTTGAACTTGCCAGATATGGGAAAAAAGAGATAATTTAGAAGTTTTGAACAACCTGCAACTATGCATTATGGAAGTGAGCCATCCATCCATCCCTTTACTGAACCACTTATCCCCAAATGGGGTAACAGGGGCACTTGAATATAGCTCCATTCAAACTTCAACTGTATCGCAACATACCTGTGATTCATTTTAAAGAATGGTCATTTCAGTCAGAAGGCAAAGAAATCTCTTCATAAAACTCAACAAAAGCACAGAGGCCAATATAACTGATCTTTACGGTCTCTGATTATCCATAAGTGACCGTTGCATCATCTATGAACTTTGTCACATTCACTCATAAGAGATGACAGCAAAAGGGACACAATGAAGAGCAGATGGCTGAACATTTTACATTGTCATTCTGTGAATGACCACCAGTCTATTGACATAGAATAAAAAGGTCAGAGCAACAAAGTGAAAGACTGCTGGAACTCATTTTTTTCTTTTCTTCAGTATTGAATCTTAGACGTCAGAAATAAATCATATAAAGTTTAAAAAAATATGCATAAGTTGATAAATACAGATAGATTATCTTAAAGCGCTTAGATGACATGATATATATATATTTTTCCAACTAAATTAGATGATAAAAACCTTTCAGTTTTAAGAGCAAATATCATTAGAGAGGTGCATGCTCATGTGGAAGAGACAGTATCCTGCACAGAAATGACAGAGCAGATCTCCTGAACACTCAAAATTAATAGCACTTATTCAAAGCATCAAGTGGACCAATCTTTTTGTCAGGGGAAGAAGAAGACTGTGAATCCAGGCTATGAAAAGGATGAATGGATTGAAGTCCAGCAAGTTAGTGCAGGATCCTTAAAATGCACAACTCAGTTGCCATCACATGATCTATTAAGGATTTAATTAATCAAAATAAATTTTTACGTCTTTAACCCAGTAAAATTGACCTGAAAACCATTACTGATGTGGTCAGACAAGGTGTAGATTCAACTCTGGAACTCTGACATTGTTTTTTTGGTTCAGATCTAATATTTAATGAGGAATTTGGAAGGAGACAGATTTAATTGGAGTGTTAGTCATTCAGATGTCAGTCAGATGATCATCCAGTAATGTTTGTACATCAGAAACCCATCTTTAGCCAAACAATGTGATCTCACTGTGTGTAGGATAGCAGTTTGTGGTGTAAATAAACCTTATAAACTGTTGTTACACTGTGCCAACACTGACACTTATTGGTTACAAAAAAAAGGCTGGTTGACATGTTCAGGGGTGACTGCTTAATGAATTAAAGCCTTAATGTGATGTTGCTGGTATCCAGGCCCATCCAGGCTTCCAGACTGTGCTGTAGTGATGCTTTCATTGGAATGTCTGAGAAAACAACATTTAACTTCATGAGGGCTCTCAGATGAATAAATGAAATTAGAGGAATTTTGCCCTCGCAGACCACCAGAGAAGTCAGATGTCCTCAAAGAGCGGAGCTGAGAGCTGGACATTCTTTTCGTATGACGTAGAGTTTTGTGGAGAGTCAGCCCTTGCACTTGACTCCGCAGTTAAGTTTCCTGTGGTGGGTCGGAGGGGCCAATAAATGTCACTGTAATATTTGAGACAACTTGATGTGATGTAGAATCTAAGCTAAGCTAATTGAGTTAACTTCAGAGCTAACAGAGTGCACAAATACCTTAAGGGAGCTGTAATTCAAAAGCATTTCAAAGACAGAAAAATCTGTGTTCTCAACAAATGTTGATTTATTAATTGTTCATGATCGCTTTAAGGTCAGTTACTGAAATCCTTTGGGGTTTCCAACTACATCATGTGATGTGCGATGTTTTCCTTGCCTAGCCTTAAGGTTAACAAGACCATTTCAACATCTCAACATGCTTTGCTGTCATAATGTTGAACGTCCAGTAGCCTGAGGATTTAAGAGATGAATACAGACAACCCATAGATAAAGCACAAAATATGCATTACCTAAAGCCAAACTGATACAATATCAGCATTTAAAGAAAAAGACACTATAGTAAATCATCCAAAGCTGTCTTTTAGACTGTTTAACTAAATTATGAAGGCAATACATTGTATATTTTCACATAAATCCAAGCAATATGTTTCAAAGTAGTAGTTTAAGCAAGAAAATGAGGAAGATGAAGGTGACAGAACCATCAGAAATGACCACACAGCTTATTTGACCTGCTGATGGAGTTTTCTACCATTCAGCCTGTTGGTAACACCACTGCAGACTGAACTGTGGCATCCAAAACCTTTTCTTTTTTGAACCTCTTTTCATATTTCGCATGAGTTTAAATAGCTCAAGCATTAAATAACCAGCTGTGTCCTAAATGAATCTCATTTCTGACTAAAAAAAAGCTTCAGTAAATGCAGTAGGTCAGTTAAGAATTTAAACAACAGCACGGTCCAAGTGAAAATCACAGGGAAAGTAGCACTCAAACGACCAACTCCCAGTCCAGCGGTGCCCCAAAGGAAAGACATCCGACACCGCTTTATGGAAAAAGCAGACCAAGGCCAAGCTCCTGCAGGGTCAAAGTCTAATAATTACAGAAAAGACAGATCTTCACTTTAAGGATCTCCAGGGCAGGCCCACGAAGACCGGAATGTGAAAACAAATTCAATTATAAGTAGTTCAGGTTTGTTTTCAGGAACTCCTGTATAATTGAGTAAAGTTAGCATAACATCTGACGGACAGTCATTCAAGTAAAAACCACAGGTAGGAGTTTAAAGAGAAAAAATCTTTAAAAAAACAGTGAAAACTGCGTTTTCTTTCCTAATCAAAGACTAAAGGAAAAAATCTGATGTTGAGAGGAAAGTGTTTATTTGAAATACAACACCGTATTGAGCTTTATTTTTCTATTCCTACAGCTTTGAACGTCTGAGAATGTCTGGAAAAGCAGCTCTGAATGCTTTTCGGCAGTGGCATCTCTGCACGTGCAGCTCACAGCGGGAAGCTTTCCGTGCAAGATGTGTCCATGCTACCAGAGAGGTGATTATTTAGAGAGGAACCCGAGCATAGCCCAGTGCATGATGCAAAAACGTTGCTGTGGAAAATCTGTAGCAATGCTTATTAGAGGGTGAATGCAATTTCTTATACTACAGACTAAAAGAAGTATTTGTGCCATGAATTCTCTGGACGATTACCCTTTTAATTCAGACACTTTTCTGACAGCCAATTAAATTAGGCATCCGAATAAAACTTCATGGTGAATAATTCTGAAATGTATTATTCATTTCCTTCCATCCACATTCGATGCGTTGCACCGTGCCGTTGTTTACTTGGATCACATTCGTAGTTTTGAACTCAGCGAGGATTTGACATATTAAAGCAACTGCAGACAAGAGGAAATGTTTAAACAATCCATCACCGCGCATCAAAGGGTGACTCACATGGAACCGAGCATCAGTGTTATTGCTCCTTTGGCCAACTTTTAAAGTCCCACAGACTCTGGAAATCATTTCACCACAGTCGCTCCTGCAGTGCTCCTGTTTTCATTGCTATTAATATCATGATTATTACCTCAGTTATTGCTATCCCCTTGGCAGGAGGAGAGAACGTGCACGTCGGGTTCAAGTCAGGACAAATCTACCTCGATGAAAAAGGCCCATTGTTGCCTTTTTAACTCGGACGCCTTTCTCAGGACCTCCTGACTTTCTCCAGAAGCAGCTCAGACTGTTGAGTTCTGGAGCTGATCTGGGTCAAATAATTCAGTCTCTGCGCATCATCACGGCAGGAATGTCGATAACGCCGACGGACGGAACTCAACCCAAAAACGAATGCGCGGACATTTTCTACCATGGTTACCAGAAAATACTAAATTTGGGGTTTGAGGGAGTGCCATCCCGAAGCTCAGGCTGTCATTAATGTGGTGATGTTTTTCATTTTTTGGAGGAAGGAGATGTATGCGCTGTGAAACCACATCCCTGCCCCAAACACGAGCGCGCTACCTCAGTGTCTCGCTAGCTCATAACATTCCATTCGTCTGCACTAACAGAGTAAAACGTCCTTTCTTATTATTGAGGGACAGGTAATTCCCCATCACAGTTGTACAAAGGCATTTTTTTTCCATGTCTGTTACTACCTGAAGCACTGAGACAGTGATAGGAGAATTAGAAGATTCAGAGGAATTTTATTAGCACATTCTAGTTTTTCAGTTTCAGTTGGAACTGACCTTTTTTCTAACATTTTTTGGGATGAACATGTTTCATATCTTTTTTAAAAAGTCTTGAAAATGATTCGTGTCAACTTTCAGGTGACATGGGGCAATACATATTTTCTTCCTCCACACAGGGTGGACCTTTAAAGCCTCTGTGATAATTTGTTATTTACTTACAGATGACCAACATTTGACTCACTCACACAATTACCTCAGCATCTAAGAATCTGTCGCTCTGCTACATCTGCTATACTAAATGTGCAAACAGAGTGGTAAATGCAACAAATTATATAGAGAGTATCATTTGAAGACCACCATCTTACATTAGACAGGAGTTATGCAGTAATCCCAGCTCTACTCAACTCTAGCTTTTTTTAAAAACAGAAATGAGGTCATGTTAGATTAGAAATACATGGAAACATTACCTGGCACAAGGCTTCCATCCATCCATCAATTTTCGTAACCACTTATTCCCTAATGGGATCGCGGGGGGACTGGAGCC